AGCCGGTCTCCTCCACCGTCACAGCGTCCTGCGCATCAGCGCCGTCTTTGCCTCGGCATTACTTCGTGCCATCAGCTTTCTCGAGCGCCACTGGCTCGAACTATGCCACGACATTCGTAGTGGTTGCCTCAGTTCGTCAATCACCGACGCTGCTTGTAGGGAGGCCATGTCGGCAATGCTTTCCTCTCCGAATCCCGCGCTCGCCGATGATATCAATGGCACATGCGGTGGATCATGGAAGGGCGTACTTTGCCGGCTGTGGCCGAAAGCGCGGTGTATTGAAGCAGTCCTGACGGGATCCATGGCACAGTACATCCCTGCACTGGAGTACTATTCCGATGGGAAGATACCGCTGGTCTGCACAATGTATGCATCCTCGGAGTGCTACTTCGGGGTGAACTTGAGGCCTTTATGTGATCCAGCAGAAGTTTCCTACACATTGTTGCCAAATATGGCCTACTTTGAGTTCATGCCGCTAGAAGATGGGTTGGGATCAGAGAATTTCGAAGAAGAAGAGACGAGGGATGTTGAGCTTGCAGCCTTGGTCGACGTCAAGCTCGGTTGCTATTACGAGCTCGTGGTCACCACCTTTGCCGGTAAGCTAGCTAGCTCTGCTCTTTAGATTTTTCGATTAGAGACTAACTCGTTATACGCAACTACAACTTGGTTAGGACTCTACAGATATCGCGTTGGGGATGTGCTTCAGGTGACAGGTTTCCACAACCAAGCCCCCCAGTTCAGGTTCATTTGCCGCAAGAATGTTGTTCTTAGCATCGACAGCGACAAAACTAACGAGAAAGACCTCCAGAGGAGCATATCCGCGTCGAAGAAGCTTCTCGAAGCTTTCAACTTCTTACTGGTGGAGTACACCAGTTATGCTGACACCTTGACCGTTCCCGGGCACTACGTTTTGTTCTGGGAGATTGTGAGCACGGCTGATGACTGCAGCAACGGCAGCAACAAGGAGGAGGGGGACCCATCACTTAAGACGGAGCTCCTTCAAGAATGTTGCGTCGCCATTGAGGAGTCGCTCGACTATAATTATCGGAGATGTCGATCGCATGATCGATCCGTGGGGCCACTGGAGATACGTGTAGTCAGGGTCGGGGCTTTTGAAGCTCTGATGGATTTCCTCATCAACCAAGGGGGCTCGATCAACCAGTACAAGACCCCGAGGTGCCTTGAATCTGACGGGGCAATCGAGCTGCTGAGCTCAATGGTTAAAGCTTCTTTCTTTAGCCCACGGGATCCAACGTGGAATCCTTAGTAGATTTTGGGATTATGAATGGCAATCTAGCTAGCTAAGTCCGTGAAAATACGGTTTTACGAAATGATCGTCTTTTATTGAGTGGGAAGGAAGAATGTGGCTTGTTGCTCTATTTTCTTACCACCTTAGAAAAAGTGCAAAAGAATGGAGACAAATTATCTCCTTTTATATGTTTTTATTACTTAATTCCCTGTTTGTTTGGGTAAGATCCATGGATTTCATTAGGCCAACTTAATCTTCCGCCATTTCATACGAACTACTGATTTAAGAACTCAATTCAAATAAGAAGGGGCATCGAAACTAACAACTGGACAACTGATTTTGATTTAATCTATTTATGAACTGAAATAATACGGAACGAAGAGAAGCAGAAAAATCATCATAACAAACTAAAAATAATTAAACAGGCTCCTATGGAAAATAAACAAATGAGCCGATGATAATTATTGAAGGCATTCAGCTTTATGTGGCTAGCTACTGACCTAATGTTGAATCTAATGTCTATCTCGATTTAATGTACAACTTCTCCAGCTAATTTTTGGTTGCACTTTCCATTGTTGAAGAAAGGAGAGCTAATTTGTTGATTTTGCTACTCAATTTATGCTAATTTTTCATTTGCAAAAGTTCCCCATCAATTACTTAGATAGCCACCCTTTGGCATTGAGCTTGATTGGATGAGATTAACTTAGATGAAGGTTTGTTTTACATATGCCACCCTATATCTCTGCGTTTTTGCTCGATCTACCATTTTCTTGCCTTTTTTAATTACAAGTTGGGGTGCGTTTGGTGAAACTCTCAAAAGTGGGTCAGGTCTGATCCTATCCTGATTTTTAGGTGAACTTGTTCTTTTTTGAACCAATAATGCTATTTGGCTCGCTCATTGAGCTCGCTTCTTCAAATCGCGCCCACGTGGAGGAGCCACGCCAGCACTCCTCAAACAAAAACAATCCCCGTGACCAGTCCCTTCCTCCTCCAAACACTTTTCTCTCTCCAAAAGAAACCAATTCCACCCCAATTCCCCTCCCCCACCCCCGCTCAACAGTGGCCATAGAAGCCCTAAAATCGCTCGATCTCTCTCATCCCCCAACTTCAAAACAGGTGTCGCCGCGACCCGACTCTCCCCAACAGTTGTCGAGATTGATCCCCCATCAACCAGATTGAGCCGCCATCAACCAGATCCGACTCTCCCCAACTTCAAAACAGGTACCTTTCCTCTTTTAATCCATCAAAAACCCTCGATTTTGTACAAATTTCACTCATTTTCATCTGATTTGATATGATTTCAGTTTGCATCTTGTTTAATTGACTTTTTTGGTCTGTGAGAGTGATGTGTTTAATTTCAATCAAAGAAATGAAATTGTGAAATGGTGGATATTGGAGGGTAATTATGATTTTACTGGTGTTTAATTTCAATCAAAGAAATGAAATTGTGAAATGGTGGATATTGGAGGGTAATTATGATTTTACTGGTTAATTCGTCCTTAACCAAGAAATTTTGTGTGAAATGGTGGATATTGGAGGGTAATTATGATTTTACTGGTTAATTCGTCCTTAACCAAGAAATTTTGGTGGATTTTGGGGTAATTATGGTGGATTGTTTTGAATAAGTAGGGCTTGTGGATTGTTTTTGTTTAAGTAGGAAGATTGACACTAGAAGTGAGCATTGTGTAAACATGAAAAATCTGTAAAGGAAAATTGGCACTAGAAGAATAATTCGTATAAAGAATGGGAGCAATTTAGAATGCAAGTTTGATGGTTGATGAGATCGTGTAAACATGATTTTGTCCTTATACAGAATAATTTTTAGTTTTCTCTCCCCCTCACTAATTATGTTTTGGTATGTCAAAGAATAAAATCTGTGTTTTCAAGATGCAGTTTTTCAATTTCAGTCAATTCTTTGCTCAGTTTCTTTGTTCAGCTCAGTTTTTTTGTTCAGTTTCTGTCAACTATTTTTTTGTAAAGTTTATTGATGATCAATTTGAACATGCATGGCAGATGATTTAGATGATGATGGCTTGAATAATTGCACGGTTGATGAGAGATATGAGTTGCCTCAGCACACTGATCAACAGATTGAGCAAAATGAGCCTAAAATTGGGATGGAGTTTAATGATCCAGATGAATTGTTTGAGTTCTACAAAGACTATGCAAAGAGCAGAGGATTTCCAGTTAAGAAACATACAAGAAGGAAGAATGTAATAGGCATTGTTAGAAGTATAACTTTAGTATGTGGTCGAGCTGGCAAACATAATAGTACTTGTCAAAATCCCTTAAAACCACAAGCAAGCTACAGAGTTGGGTGTAATGCAAAGATAACAGCTAGGTTAAATTTGGACGGTAGATGGGAAATATCTGTGGTTGTTCTGGAGCATAATCATGGCCTTAGCCCTACTAAAAGTCGTTTCTTTCGATGCAACCGAAGAATTAGTGCACATGTTAGACATCAAATTAATTTGAATGATCAAGCCGGGATCAAACTCAACAAAAATTTTAGCTCACTAGTACATGAGGCCGGTGGATATGAGAATATGTTGTGTGATGAAAAGGCTTGCAGGAACTTGGTTGATGAATCAAGGCGTTTGCATCTCGGCGAAGGTGATGCTTCAGCGATTATGAAATATTTTTCAAGGATGGTTGCAGAAAATTCAAGTTTCTATTTTGATATTGAATTGGATGATGAAGATCATTTGAAAAATGTATTTTGGGCAGATGGTAGGAGCAGAGAAGCTTACAAAGAGTTTGGTGAGGTCGTCACTTTTGATACCACATACTTAACAAATAAGTATGATATGCCATTTTCACCATTTGTTGGCGTTAACCATCATGGGCAATCAATTTTACTTGGATGTGGGTTGATTTCAAAAGAATACACAGAGACTTTCATATGGCTATTTACGAAGTGGGTTGAATGCATGGATGGATGTGCTCCGCAAGGGATAATAACTGACCAAGCAAGAGCCATGAAAAAATACAATTGAGATTGTTTTTCCAAACACTAGACACAGATGGTGTTTGTGGCATATAATGAAGAAGTTGTCAGAAAAGTTAGGAAGGTACACTGAATATGAGGTCATAAGTTCTACCATGAAAGGAGTGGTGTATGACACACAAAGTCCACAAGAGTTTGAAAAACAGTGGAATGAAATGGTTGACATGTATGGATTGGAGGATTGTGATTGGTTAGGTGAATTGTATGAGGAGAGAAACCGATGGGTTCCATGTTATGTCAAAAATTGTTTTTGGGCAGGAATGTCAACTACTCAGCGAAGTGAAAGCATGAATGTTTTTTTTGATGGATATGTCAATTCAAAAACAAGTCTGAAATAGTTTGTTCAGTAGTATGAAAATGCATTAAGAAACAAGGCAGAAAAGGATATGCGGGCCGATGCAGAGTCATTTTCAAAAGTAAAAGCTACTGCAACAACTTATGATATGGAGAGTCAAATTCGGGGAGTCTACACTTTAGCAAAGTTTAAAGAGTTTCAAGCTGAATTCACGGGAAAGATATATTGTGATATTGTAAACTTTCAGGAGGGAGCAAGGGTGCTTGTGTATGTCATTCGGGACTTGACTTTGCGGTTGGAGGGTGGCAAAAGGATTCCTAAATTCTTCACAGTATCCTTTTGTGAAACGAACAGTGAAGTTGAATGTAGTTGTCAGTTGTTTGTGTTTAAAGGCATAGTATGTAGGCATGCCCTTACTATTCTTATTCGTCACGAAGTTAGCTTTCTTCCAGAAAAGTATATTCTACGAAGGTGGCGAAAGGATGTGAGGCGAGCCCACTCAAAGATGAAAGTTAAATTTGATACTTGGGTTGTCACACCTGAACAATTACGCTATCGCGAGCTATGTCTTGCATTTAGTGAGGTTGCTGATCTTGCTGCTCAAAACAACCATGAATGTGAGGTTGTTAAAAAATGGATAGACACCAAATTTAGAGAACTATAACTTGTTGAATCAAGTCAGAAGGGAAAAGAAGTAGAGATGAATCATGATTTTGTGGAAGAAGAAAAGGAATATGAAAAGAAGGAAAATGAAAACATATTGGATCTTCTCTCTCAGACTCAGAAAGGTCGGCCTAGGCAAAACAGAATTAAGCCAACAAGTAGGCGAAGAAAGAAGAAAATTGATCGAGCTGCTAATGTGCCCGTCAACAATGCATCACAGTCTCAAGAGGGTGTTCTTTCCTACACACAAGATAGTATGGTTTCAAATGCTTACATGCCACAACCAAATATTGTGCATCCATGGTCGGCACAACAATTAACAAATGAATGTATGCAGTTGGTAAGATATAGCCCATAGCTTACATTGATGCAAACCTTTTTTAATCACTTTAACTACACCCTTATATCTATATGATGTGTTACAGCCTCAATTTCCAATGCCTGGAGATCCACATGCGATGGGGTTGGCACTTTGGTATGGATTGCATCAAAGAAACATGATGTGATAACATATGGGTATGATTTGCTTATTGGGGTAAATATTCATCAATTATGCTCATGTAACAAGTTGTATTAAGACTTGTTTTTTTAACTCATCCAGGGCCCTGATGCTGTTTGGCGAAAGGATGCTTTTGGTTCCTGATGTTGTTTTGTTCCTGAAGGTAGTTGGCTCCTGATGCCTCTTTTGTGAAGCCTCTTTTGTAACTCTAGTGCGAATGTAATTGTTGCTGGACAAATTATCTTTCCATGCTTCATTCTACTGGATAATTATATGTAATGGAATTGATGTAATGGATAATTATCTTTACATGTCTCTGCTCCAAGCAACTCTAGTGCTCACTGGATAAATATATGTAATTGTTGCTGGACATGCTTCATTCTACAGTAGTGTTGAGGTTTCTCTTTCTGCTCCAGCTCATTGACTATTATATTTACTTTAGATCTGGGCATGCTTCAGCGATTAATTTGTGCTTTATCTTTAATTTGTGCTTTATCTTTTATTGCAGTGTTGAGGTGCTTTATCTTTTGTGTTTTAACTTGCCACTTTGTGATAATCAATCAATTGTTCCTAAAAATGCACATAAGCATCACTGAGCTTTGACAACGGCCATTTTAAAAACTCTGTATTTGACATAAAAGGTTCCAAATTCAGACACCAGCTAAACATTGAAAGGGCAAACAGACAATCATTGACCAAATTGTCGCTCTTCAAGTATTTACAAGGTCCATAGAACCTACATAACACTTGCAAATTGAACATACATTTTATAACAACAAATTAAAAGCATCCAAAAAGAATCATGCCCGTTTGGGATCTCAATTACTTTTTCATTACAATTCCATAGAACACTAATTTTCATTACATAGTTGAGTTAGCAAAATATTACAAGGTCCAAACCAAAAACATACCCTTACTTGGATATTATTACAAGAAAAATGGACATCATGAAACCAACAAAAATTCCAATTAGAAAGCCTTTTTCCTGAATATGTTTCTTCCAAACTCCATTTTCTTTCCCATGTATTCTTGATCTCAATTTCTCATTTTCAATTGAAAGCTCTTCAAACTTGCGAATAATTATATTCATTGAGTCGTGAGCGTAACTTGGTACTTCACCATGATCTAACCAAGTCCAACAATTACAAGTGTTTGTAGCACAAATTCCAAATCGACGACATGGATGCCTCGTGGTGTAAGAAGTCTTCATTTGCACTGGGATCCCACAAAAGCAATTTGGAATCTTGTATGGAGGTGGACGATTCCACATTGTAGCATATAGCCTCCTATCAAAGAACCTTGCCCGTTTAGAAGAGGATGATTGTTGAGAAGATGTTGATGACATGATTCTGCAGTAGAAGATAGTTTTAGACCAAGTATATTGATTAGTAAAGGAACTGGATAAGGTATATAAATTAAAATCCATACATCACATACGATCGAGCTTCAGGAGGATCTTATCTCTCACAATCTTCTCTACTCTTTCTATAACATTTCTTCTTGGTTATTTTCAAAGGACAAATCAACGTGCATAATCACTCTTGACCATTTTGAAGAGAAAAATTGAAGCTTTGAACTTCTCAATGCATGCACTTTTCAAACCCCCGACGTGTACACTGCCAATATAAATTTACAAGGATATTCCATTAATTTTAAGATTTTTAACTTTAATATAGTGATACTCAAACTCAATCGATAATAGTTTCAGACATACGTGATATGCCACTATGAAATTGGGATTCTTTTTATTCTGATATTCATTTCTGATGAAATTTATTCCTCATTCTTTACTTTCATATAAGATAGTTTTAGGCCTTGTGGAATTCTATACTGGCTCATCACCTTGTTCCAAGTTCCTCTCGCAGTTGGTTTTACAGCATATATTCTGTATCAGAACCGCAAAATGCAGCACCAAACACCTGATCAATATATTCTTTATGCAAAAAATTTCTTGGTTAAGGACGAATTAACCAGTAAAATCATAATTACCCTCCAATATCCACCATTTCACAATTTCATTTCTTTGATTGAAATTAAACGCATCACTCTCACAGACCAAAAAAGTTTGTAATAAGATTTCAATTAAACAAGATGCAAACCGAAATCATATCAAATCAGATAAAAAGGAGTGAAATTTGTACAAAATCGAGGGTTTTTGATGGATTAAAAAAGAGGAAAGGTACCTGTTTTGAAGTTGGGGAGAGTCTGATCTGGTTGATAGCAGCTCAATCTGGTTGATGGCGGATCAATCTCGACAACTGTTGGGGAGAGTCGGGTCGCGACGGCACCTGTTTTGAAGTTGGGGGATGAGAGAGATCGAGCGATTTTAGGGCTTCTATGGCCACTGTTGAGCGGATCTGGTTGATGGCGGCCCAATCTCGACAACTTT